CGAGCGGCGCCGCGCGGGGCTCCCGCAGCGGGACCGGGCTCCGCGCGGCTCCCAACGCGCGGGACAGCTCCATCCAGGACAGGAAGGCTCCGTCTTGCACGGCCTGGCTCCGAACGGCATGGGCTGTATGGCAATGCCCTATAGGGCATGGAATGGCTCCTTATGGCTCTATAGGGCATGGAATGCTCCTTATGGCACAGCACAGCTCCACAGGGCACAGCCCACCCACGACAGAGCTGGCACAGCTGGGCCCAGCCCACCCTTGATGGGTCCAGTTCAGCATGACAGGGACATGGGGCAGAGGCAAGAGCACAGGCTGGTGGCAGGGACATGGGGCAGTGAAAGGGACATGGGGCAACGGCAGGGGCATGGGACAGTGACATGGACACGGGATGCCAGAACATCGGCAGAACATGGGCCACTCCCCTGGGTGCTGCGGCAGGTCTGGGACACCAGCAGAGCCCCAGCCGGGCCGGGCAGCAGGGAAAGGGTTCAGCTCCCTGCAGCCCTGCATCCCCGCCTGTTACCCGCCCCCTCCTTGGCAGACCTCCGGGGACAGAGCCCCGTTGCTGTGGCATCAGCAGTGAGGTGACGCGCGGGGTCCCATAACGTGCCAGTTCTGCCACCACATCAGCCCTCAGTCCCTCGGCACATTGCCCTGGGCACGAGGCCTCCCGGGCCGTGCTCTGTGCCTGGCGGTTCAGTGCCATGTCCCTGTCCTGAGGGTGCTCCTGCCACCCCTGGACAGCAGCAGCCAGCGTGGGAGCTGGTGCTCAGTGTCCCTGTAGGGTGGCACTGTCCCTTAAACACACTGGCCAGGGCTGGCAGTCCCCTCAGCTTCCCTGCCTGCTGGCTCTGCACGTCCCCTTTCCCGGGAACCTCTTTGCAATTCAGAGCAGTGCCCGGCAAGGCGGGCGGCAGCGACGGTACCGCGGTGCCTGGCCACCAAACACCCCGGCAGGGCTGGCAGTGGCCTTAAGGCACCTGCACCTTGCAGGCCCCCACCCCAACGGGCACCATGCACCCCAGGGTGCAAACACCCGCTTTGTGGCAGTGAGCGCGACCGCGCTGCTCCTGTCCCCATGCGCCGGGCGGGCACCCAGGGCGCTGGCAGGGACCCAGCGCGGCGGGCGCTGCCCCCGCTCAGCTGTCGCTGTCCGTGACGCTGCCGGCGACGGCTCTGCCTGGAGCCGGGAGCGGAGCCGCCCGGGGCTCCGCAGGGCCGCGCTCGCCGCCGCTCCGCGCACATGGACCTGCGCCCCGTCCCCGGCGCCCGCGAGAAGGGCTGGTACCTGGCCCTCATGGCGCCCAACGTCAAGGGGCCCAGCTACGCCTGGCTCGACCCGTCCCGGCTCTACTGCCACCCGCAAGTAGCTGCGCTCGGGGTGGGCGGCTGGCACGGGGTGCCTGTAGCACAGGGTGCCCGGCGGGGCTGACACCGACCGGGGCACCCAGCACCTCCACTGTCCCGCAGGGCCTGCAGGACTGCGTGGCCGACCTGCTGCAGCCCTTCTGCGGGGACACCATCGACCTGGTGGCCGGCATCGACGCCATGGGCTTCATCCTGGGTGAGCGTGGTGGCTCTGGCGGTGGCGGTGTCCCCCCGTGCCACGGCTCACGGCCGTCCCCGTGCAGGCGCCGCGGCGGCCGCCGTGCTGCACAAGGGCTTCCTGGCCATCCGCAAAGCCGGGCACCTCTGCGTGGAGACGCTGGCGCAGCCCTACACCGACTACTCGGGGCGCCAGAAGCTCATGGAGATCCGCACCGACGTGCTGGCCCCAGGTGAGCCCCGGCGCGCGGCCGTCGCGGCGCCCGGCACGGGGCAGCCCCGGCGCCTCAGCAGCCCCGTGCCCCCCGGCCAGGCCTCCGCATACTCCTCGTGGACCAGTGGGTGGAAACGGGCGGCACCATGCGAGCGGCCATCGAGCTGGTGGAGCGGCTGGGGGCGGTCGTGGCAGGTAGGGCAGGGCGGCGGGCAGGGGGGCAGCGGGACCCCCTCGCCCGGCACCGCTGAGCGCCGCGGCCGCCCGTCCCCGCAGGCGTCGCCGCCATCTGCATCGAGGACAGCGAGGGCGGGCGCTGGATCCGCGCGCGCTACAAGTGCGCGCACTGCGTCCCGCCGCGCCTGCAGCCCCGCTTCGACCGCCACCAGCTCGACGGGCCCTGAGCGCCCGCGCCGTGACCGCCCGGGCCACAGCAGCACACCTCCCTTTTTGCTTTCTTTTTGTTTAAAAAGTGTAAAAAATCATTTTATTATGAAAAAACGGAGCTAATGGCGTGTGGCGTTGCATAGCTAAGGAAGCCGCAGCAGCATCTGCACCAGCCCCGGGCACCGCAGAGGGCCCGGCCGGAGCCAGGAGGCACCTCGGGGTGCTCGGCCGGTGCCCCCGTCTTGCCCGGGGCCGGTGCAGCGATGGGGGCAGCGTGGGCGCTGTGTCCCCGGGGGCGCTGGGCGGGCGGCACCGTGGCTCTTTGGTCTGGGTTTGGGTGCAGGGAGGCTCCTCACTGGCAGCACTTGGGCTTCCTGCGCGGCGCCGTCAGGTACAGGTCGCTCTCGGGGCTGCTGATCCCTGGCGGCGGCAGGGCCGGGTCAGGGGGGCGGCCGGGACCCCCCGGTTGGGCCGGTACCGGCGCCCCGCTCGGCCGGTACTCACGCACGGTGTCGGCGATCCTGCGCGCGCCGCCGCGCTCCAGCTCGGCCAGCACGCTGCTCTCGAAGGCCAGCGCGGCCACGCGGAAGAAGAAGTCCCGCACGTTCTCCCCTGTCCCCAGGACGGGCCGCGTGAGCATCCTCGGCCCCGTCCCGGTCCCCGCCGCCCCCCTGCTCGGCCCTGGGGACCCACCGGTGAGGGAGGAGACGGCCCAATACTCGGCCTGCATCTCCTGGGCCACCTTGAGCGCGTCCTTCTCCATGAGGCTGTACTGCGCCGGCGTCTGCGGAGGGGACAGCGCAGGGCCGTGGGCATGGCGGACACTGGGGACACCGCTCTTGTCACTGGTGCGGCCCCCCGGGCAGACACACTCACGCTCAGGTCCTTCTTGGAGCCCACCAAGAAGAGGATGACGTTGGACGGGTCGTTCTCCTTGAGGGCATCCGCCAGCCACTGCCTGCAGGGGCCAGCGCCGGTGTCACCACCGCTGTCACCCTGCGCTACCGCCTCGCTCGAACCTGCTCGCCCCTGTCCTACCGCGTGTGCTCCAGGGAGGCCACGTCGTTGAGGTCGAACACGATGACGATGGCTGGGGGAGGAGGAGAGGTGAGATGAGGACGGTGGGGACGCAGCGGGGACGCGGCGGGGACGCGGTGGCCTGCGCCTCACCTTGGGCACCGCGGTAGTAGGTGGACGCGATGCACTTGAAGCGCTCCTGGCCGGCCGTGTCCCACCTGGGGACGGAGGGCGGTCAGAGGGGGACACGGACGGGGGACACGGTTGGGGGGCACCGCGGGGGGCCCCGTTCCAGCTACTCACAGCTGCAGGCTGAAGGGGACGCCCAGCACCTCGAAGCGCTCCATTTCGAAGTCCACCCCGATGGTGGCCTTGTAGTTCTTGTCAAAGGTGTCCTTGCAGAAGCTGGGCACAGCGGGGGCAGGAATGAGTGCCCGCTGGGCCTGGGGGACGGCCGGGCGCACGCCGAGGGACGGCGGCGCCGAACACGGCCCCGGCGGGCACCGAGGGGCCGGCCTGGGCGCTGCCCCCGCCACGGTACCGGTTGATGAGGCAGGTCTTCCCCACCGAGAGGTCTCCCACCACGATGATCTTGGAGATCTTGAACCTGCAGGGGCACGCGGGGGCTCAGCAGCACCCCCATCTCCTCCGGGAGGATGGGGAGGCAGCTGGGGGCACCTTTGGGTGCCACCCACGCGCCCACCCCCCTGTCCATCCCAGGGCATCCTAGAGATTTTCCCATCCCGGGATTTTCCTCGGGAAGGGGATGGGGCCGGGTAAGGCAGTGCGGAGGCTATGGAGCTATGGTCACCCCGCTTGGTGACCTCGAGCCAGGCGGGCAGCGCTCACCCCACGGTGCCCGTGCGCTGCTCCCGGCACGCGGCGGCCACGGCGGCGTGGAACGCGGGGCGGCCGTGCGCGGCGGCCTCCTTGCGGAAGCACTGCGGGGGGACAGCGGTGACGGCGGGGGGGGACACGCGCACGGCGCCGTCCCCCCGCGGGGTCCCCGCACTCACCTGCGGCAGCGCGGCCACCACCCTGTCCCTGCGCACCGGGGCCAGCACGTTCATGGCGCGCGGGGACGGCGGCAGGGCGCAGCGCGGGCTGGGGGCGCAGGGGGAGCCTTGGCTCCGCGGCCCGCTGTCCCCGGCGCCCATCGGTCCCCATGTCCCCTGGCCACCCGCAGGACGGCGTGACATGCACGCCCGTGTCCCTGTGTGCGGCTGTCCCCGTGTGCGGCTGTCCCCGTGTGCGGCTGTTCCCGTGTCCCTATGTGTGGCTGTCCCCGTGTCCCTACGTGTGGCTGTCCCTGTGTCCCCGTGTGCGGCTGTCCCCGTGTCCCTATGTGTGGCTGTCCCCGTGTCCCTACGTGTGGCTGTCCCCGTGTCCCTGCGCGCCGCTGTCCCCGTGTCCCCGGGCTCTGGCTGTCTCAGTGTCCCGTGTCCTGTCCCCGCAGCCCGGGTCTGTCCCTGTGTCCGTCCCCATCCATGTGGCCGTCCCTGCACTCCTTGTCTGTTTGTCCCCATGCCCGCCTGTCCCCATCCCCCCTGCCAAGCTACCCCCATGCCCGGTGTCTGCGTGTCCCCGCGTCCCCACGTCCGCCTGTCCCCACGTCCGCCTGTCCCCACGCCCCCACGCGTGGCCGTCCCCACGCGCCGGCTCCGTCCATCCCGCCGTCCCCCCATCCCCGTGGCCACGTCCCCACATTCCTGCACAGTCCGTCCCCCCGCCCCGTGCCCCCATCCGTCCCCGTGCCCCCCCACCGTGCCCGCCCCCCCCAGCTCCCCTCACGCCGCCTTTCACGGGCCCTCCCCCCCCGCGGGAGCCCCGTTACCGGGCGCCTCCCGGCTGCGCAGCGCTGCTCGGCGCCGCACGCCCAGCCCCGGCCACGGGCGAGCTGGCCCCGCCCCGGGCCGGCAGCTCCGGGCCCGCCCGGTGCTCGGGGCCGGCCCGGGGGCGCTGCCCACGGTGGGGGGGCCGGGACTCCCGCACGGGCCCCCCCCGCAGCATCCCGCCCCCACTGGTGGCGGGGGCGGCGCGGGACTACAACCCCCATGATGCCCCGCGGCGGCGGGCGCCACAGCGCCTGCGCCTAGCGAGCAGGAGGCGGGTGTGGCGCCGCGAGATTCGGAGGGGAGTCTCGCGAGATTTGTCGCTATAAGCCCTTGCGGCGCGGCGCGGGCAGCCCCTTTCGGCTCCCGCCGCCTGGCCAAGATGGCGCCCAAGGCGAAGAAGGAGGGTGAGAGCGGGCGGCCCGCGGGACAGCGGGCCCGGCGCGCCCCGGATGCGGCTGCCGCGGGTACGGCACTGCGCGGAGCGCCGGGCTGAGCGCGGGGCGGCGCGGGGAGGCCCGGCCGCGCCGCTGGGCCGCGGACACGTGCTGGTGGTGCTGGCGGGGTGAGGCGGCGGGGAGGGCCCCGCTCCAGGCCTGGAGGCCTCAGTGTGTGCGGGCTCGGGGGATGTGGGCGTTGGGGAGCGCCCAACCCGGGGATGTGTAGCCTTGGGGGGGGGGTGGCCCTGTTGGGTTGGGGGGGCCCAATCCCCCGGAGAGGCCCCGTCTGTGCTGTGGTGGGGGGAGGCCGTGGATTCCCGTGACCCCCCCTCTGTTCCTGCCCCTCCTGCCTGTGCTCACTGAGCTCCCGCTGCAGCCGCGCCCCCCAAGGCAGAGGCGAAGGCCAAGGCGCTGAAGGCCAAGAAGGCCGTTCTGAAGGGGGTCCACAGCCACAAGAAGAAGAAGATCCGCACGTCGCCCACCTTCCGGAGACCCAAGACCCTGCGCCTGCGGCGGCAGCCCAAGTACCCCCGGAAGAGCGCCCCACGGAGAAACAAGTACGTGTGGGGTGTTGGGCCCTGCTGTGGGGTCTGCGGGACAGAGCAGCCCCGTGCACAAGGCACCGTGGTGGGGGTTGTGTCCCTCCAGAGGTCCCCGCCAACAGAGGACCGTGTTAATGTGCTCCCCTGGAGCATTACACTCAAATAGAGGGGTGCAGGTGATGTTTACATGCGACCAAAGCCTGAGAGCTTGTGATTAGAACTGTTTTTTGGCAACTGATGCACCCCCAACTTTCTTTAGATGATATCTACAGTGCTTGGAAGCCCTCCAAGTGCAGCGGCAGCAGCTTCTGTTGGCCTCGCGTAACCAAAGGGTCTCTCTTTGGCAGGCTTGACCATTATGCCATTATCAAGTTCCCTTTGACCACAGAATCAGCAATGAAGAAGATAGAGGACAACAACACTCTGGTTTTCATCGTTGATGTCAAGGCCAACAAGCATCAGATCAAGCAGGCTGTCAAGAAGTTGTATGATATCGATGTGGCCAAGGTCAACACATTGATTAGGTAAGAGGGGGAGAGGAGGGCATGGGTGTGTTGGGTGCCCAGAATGGCTTTTAGCAGAAAAATCAAAGACAAGCGAGTTCCAGCAGTGCTCTGAGGAAGGCTGGGATTAGGCTCTGTAGCGTTTGTAGCATTACAGCTTTCATAAATGCGACTCCTGTGTCAGCTGCATTTAACTGGGAGTGCAAAAGGGCAGCAGACCAAAGGGTTGCCTTCCCTGGGGACCTTTCAGGCCCCAAGGGAGATGTGCAGATGATGTGAACTTTTTTTTTTCCCACTGATTAAAGTGATGTTTCCAAAGGAACCACTGATGCACACTGCGCTAGCGGGCATGTGGAGGGGATAGGGGAAGCTGCCTGCCCCTGTGCTCATGCTTCTCGTTGCACTGCAGGCCTGATGGGGAGAAGAAGGCTTATGTTCGCCTGGCTCCAGATTACGATGCTCTGGATGTAGCAAACAAGGTGAGAAACTCTTGAAACTGTCAACTCCTCTTTACTGTGTTATATCTTCAGCACCGGGCTGCTGCTTGTGTGTTCATGTGAGATACTTGCGGTGTGCACACCAGCACCTCCGTGGGATGTCCTTGCTGTTCAGCTGGATCCAGCTGTGTTCACAAGCAGGACTATTTTGCAAAGTTTTAAAGTCCCCAGCAGGATAGATGCTGTTCTGTAACTCAGGCTGTGCTTTGAGACTCGAGAGCTATAAAACACGGAGTGGGGAATAACACAGACGTTCCACCTGCAGCCTCCAGGTCCAAGCAGTGCTTGTCCTGCCAGCGTTGATGGCCACTGCAGCCCATTTGAGTAACATTGGTGGCTACTGCACAAAGAGGAGATGCTTTCCGAGGCCCTCGTGCCCTGGCTGAAGGAGCATTTCTCTCCTTGGGGTAGTACAGGTGTTGAGACAGGGAGCACAGTTGCCTGAATCGACACAAGGGGTCACAGTGGAGTAAGTGTAGAATAGGGCTGTGCTGGAAGTGAGGCACTTGGGCGAGTCTGGGAGGAGCAAGACTGCCCTTAGAGGGCAGGGGAGATCACTCTTAAGTGGTGCTATGACGTGTGTGACTGAGGGCTCTGCCTTTAACATATTTTCCTTTTTTCCAGATCGGAATCATCTAAAATGCTTCTGCTGAGGACTGTACAGATGGGATAATAAATCCTGTTAAACTAGTGAGGGGCTCTTGTGTTTTATGACTGCACAGCCCACACAAAAGAGCAGCCGGGAGCCCGAGGGCTGCGTATCTGTAAGCCCAGCTCCTCTCATGCTGCCGCCTGGCGCCAGGCTGGCAGGAATGCGGTGTTACCTGTGCTGGGTGTTGCCCTGCGTCTCCTTTCTCATCGCTGCGGGGCTCTTGGATCACTGTTTTTTTGTGCTCGGGGTAGACTCGAATGAGGTGACACTGCCCTGATTCTCGAATACACTTATTTACCAGAGATTTGTGGTATCCTGATGTCTCCTTGCCCTGGGTAATTAGCATGTGCTTGCAATCACTGTGCTAAGTGCCCCATGTAGCTTCCTTACTGTATCACTCTGGAGCTTTCCACAAGAGTACCAGTGTCAGGAGGTAGGTATTGACTACAGCAAGTGTGTGTTTCTGGCTCAGGTCTGGAAGCAGCTGCATATTCCACCATTTTCTTAGTTTTATTCAACTTCACATAGGCTGCAGACAACTCCTCAAACTAGTGGCTGCTCTGTATTTTTTCTGGTGCAATCCCTAGTCCACTGCAGCCTGGTTTCCTTGACACAGTTCCTGTTGTGTTGCCCACAACCTCACTGAGTTCATGGTCACGATCAGAGCAACTTCCAAGCTACTGCTGCTGCCTTTGTAGCCTTTTGCTTCCTCAGAGTGTTTGGAGAGTCCTAAGAATGTGGAGCACTCGAGAAGCAGGAAGTAGCAATAAAACATTTAGGTAGTTAGATAAACATTTAGGGTTGCTTAGTCTTAAGTATGTAGATATGTTATGCTAAGAGAGATGGTGAAAGTTGGTGACCAAATATTGATCAGGGTAAAGGAGCTCTTGGCTGGTGGGTTATTGTGTTTCTGCCCTAGCTTCTTGCCAAGGGTATTTGAGACCTGAGCACGAGCACCATGGAATAGTGTTTGCACATGCGAAGGGTGGGAGTTGATCTGAGCTGGCACTGCTTCCAGGACCTTGGGAAGGGTTTGTTCTGGGCTGAATGAGAGCTCTTCAGGTCATGCTGGGCTTTGGCCCTCACTAGGATCTGCTGTGGAGCAGCTCCAGGTACTGAGATCTGCAAGGTAAGACATGAACTGTGTTGGATTGCAGGTGGTTTCTGCAGCAGCGCAGGGATCTTCTGTGGAGGCATCTACATGTGCCCGCCTGCTGTGACACAGCTCAGCTGCCATTGGCGGGACAAAGGCTGTCCAAAGCACTCGTGGTTGTGTGGACAGACCCTGGCTGCCCTCGTGTGCTGCTTGAAGCCAGCCTGGGTGTAGAGTGGTGGGGAGAGCTCCTGTGCTCGCTGCCTCCTGTGCCTGCAGGGCGTTGGGCTGGGCTGTGCATGCGCAAAAGGAGCAAAGCAGGGAATGTTCCGTGTTGAGCAACAGGTAGGGAAGAGAAAAACGACCTGGGTGGCTGGGTCCCCTGCAGCTGGCTGTGGGTGCTGTGTGAGGATGTCTCTTTTGCCCTGGGTGCAAGCCAAAAAACCATGAGAAACTCTGAGCCCTCAACATCCCCAAGCCTGGGCAATGGGCTGGAAGCTCCTCAAGAGCAGAGGTTGTTGACAAGGTGTTCAGAGACAGATAAGGCCGGAAAGAGCCGCTGCCTTTGCTGCCCGTGATAGGGCCCTACTGCCAGGAGCAGCGGTGTGAGGCCGTGGGTCGGATCCTGCTCTCTCCCTGGGCTGTACCTGGTGTTTGTGCCAGCCCGAGCACTCCAGTTTCAGCCAAGATGTGGGCACCTACGTGGGCTTTGGCTCACCCGGAAAGGGGAGAAGCAGCAGCAGGGGCTCTGCAAGGGCTGCCTGGGGCTGCCCCACGGGCTCTGCTCAGCAGAGCTGTGGTTTCCCCCAGGAAGACATGGGTCCCGTCACCCCAAATAGCTGAGAGCTGCTGCTGGGGGGCTCTGCGCCACGCCGTGAGGTGGGAGCACAGCCCTGCAGGCGCCGCGGAGGCTGGGCCGGGAAGGCTTTTCCCATCAGCATGACTTGCATTCTGCCCCGACCCTGCCTCAGCTGGGCCCGGCGGGCGCTGCCGCCTGGCAGCCTGGCACCCAGCGCGCGGCTTCCCGGCGCTCGCCTCCGGGGCCGGCAGCCAGCCCGGCCCACGGCCGCCCCAGCCCGCCCGGCGCGCTGCTCTGATGCTCTGGCTGCAAGCCAGGACGGGAGCCGGGCTCGCTGCTCCGGGAAGCTTTGTCACGCCACGGCCAGGGCGTTGCTGACTGGTCGCTCCAGCTCTTGCGGCACCTCCACGTCCACTGTGAGCTGGGAAAGATGAGGAGAAGGGTGTAGAAATTGGGGTGAGGGAAAGCTAGGGACTAGGCTTGACTGTGGGGTGTTTGCAGATGGATTTCATGTAAGGAGGCTTAAATTGCATATGCCGAGGTGAGAGGTAGCTCCTGTGCTGCTGGCAGCTGTGTGGAGCTGCCGGTCAGTCCTGGGCTCCTTGGGTGGGTCTGGCAGCTGCTTTGAAGCCTCAGTAGATTCCTGCCCACGCAGTGTCCTGGGTGTCGTGTCCCTGCTGATTGCCAGGCTGTCCCCAGCCCCTGTGCTGGCCTAGGAGTCCTCAGCACGTGCTGGCGAGTCCTGGGGAGCACCGCTGGCCGCGGGGCAGCTCCCAGCGCGCTGTGGATGGGGCCATCGCTCCCTTTCCACCCCCCCAGCTGTGCCGCTGTCCCCAGCTCGCTTCGAACAGCTCCGCTGGCAGCGACGTCCGTGGGGCTGATGCTGCCCTGCAGCGGGGGCCGCGCGGCTCTCCCTCTAAGCCAGGCTGCTTACGCTAGTCCGGAGGGATCCCAGAGCTGTCACGTCAGCAGGATTTGTCTTCCCAGCGCTTTGGAGCTCCGCGGGACCGGCTGGGCCGGCTCAGCCCTGCTGCGGGGCACCTGGCTGTCTCCTCTGCACGGTTCCTCCTCTCCCGCTGCCGGGGCTGGGGCTGGGGAGGCAGGCGGCTCCTGTCCCCGCAGCGCGGGCTGCCGCGGGCCGGCCGCTGTGCCGGGCTGGGAAGGCGGCTCCGGGGGGATGTGGATGCGCAGCCGTCTCGCAGGAAGCGCCCGCGGCCTCCCCATGCCGGCTCCGCTTCACGTGGCTGCGGGTGAGTCACGCAGCCCGGGCAGGGCAGGGAATGCCGGGGGCCTTGGTCGCTCCTGGCTCCCTTCTCCTCCCTGCTCAGCCCCCAGAGCTCAGGGGTCTCTGCGAGAGAGGAAGACGGGGGGACCCCTCCACAGGAGGGGCTGGTACCTCCCTCAGGGGTGTCCCAAATGATGCAAGGAGCAGAAACGTGCCCTCTCCTTCCCTGCGGCTGCTGGCCTCCCCTGGGAAGGGGATTACATCCATTCCCATGTCCCATTTCTTCCCATCCTCCCTGTGCCGCCCCGGCTCCGCGCCGCACAGGCGGCCGCACGCTCTGCCCCGTGGAAAGGCCAGCCCGGACACGCCGCGGCAGCAGAGAACAGACTCCTTTAATGCACGTAACGCCCAACAACAACAATGCGGGAGGGACGCGGCCCTTCCCCGGCAACCCTCTCAGCCGGCGGCTGCAAAAGGCGGCCGCTCCCGGCCCCCGAGCGCCCTGCGCCGGAGCCGGCTCGGGCTCCGTCTCATCCGTTCGGCCCCTGGCTTTGGCGGCGGCCCCGCGGCTCTGCGGGGCTGGCCCAGGAGGGAAGCGAGCGCTTCGGGACGGCGGAGCGGGTGAAGGCAGCGAGCCCTAAGGCACATCGGAGCAGGTACGGAAGGCCTCCCGGAGCCGGCGCCGGGCTCCCGGCACGCGGCGCCTCTCAGTCTATCAGGAACTTCTCCCCGTCCACGTCTCTCCCTGCAGACGCCTTGTGCAAGGAGGGGAAGAAGTCGGAGCGCAGGAGGCGGGAGAAGTACATGAGGATCATGGCGTCGAGCAGCAGGAGGTTGGCCATGAGGAAGGCACCCTGGCCCTGCACCTCCACGTAGCGTAGGAAGTACCAGGTGAGGTAGGCCTGGGGCGCCAGGCGGAAGGCGAAGTACATCACCAGGTTGACGTACTTGTTGAGCTCGTAGAGTGCCGGCGAGGGCACGTTGCTCATCTTGAGCAGCATGCGCGCCGTCAGGAAGATGTTGCTCACCTCCACCAGCAGCAGCAGCATCGCCGCCACCAGGAAGCGGCCCGTGACGATGAGCGAGACGAAGGCGGAGATGGCCTGGGGCGGCAAGGGGAGGTTGTGACACCTCCAGGGTCTCGTTGGCTAGCGTGTCCCCCCCCACACACACACACCAGGAGATCCTTATGGGATCCTCCCGGTGGCACCATGGGCTACGTGGTGCTGGGAGGAGGAGGGCCGGGCTCCGTGCGGGGTGTACGCGCCGCGGGGGTACCCACCATGGCGTGGTGCACCAGGTACTCCCAGGACGAGCGCGACTGGTGGTTCATGATGATGTCCAAGCTGTCGTGGATGAAGTAGCCTGCGGGGTGGGGGGCAAACGCCACGAGGGGCCCGGCTCGGGCGCTGCTGGGGACGGCAGCGAGACGGGCCGGGCGGAGCGACCAGGGTCCCCGCACGGTGACCGGGGTCCCCACACGGTGACGGGGACGCCATCCCCACCGGGCACAGCACGGCGGCCGGCAGCCCCCTTACCTGAGGAGAAGCAGACGAGCAGGTGCCCCGAGACGCAGTAGCCGTCCTGGATGTCCCCGAGCAGCTCCGAGGAGTTCCAGAGGCTGCAGACAGCGGCGCGGCGGCGTGAGCGCCAAACGGGGGGGGGCCAAAGGCAGCCCCCCACCCCCGGGTGCAGCCGCGTCCCCCCCGTTACCTGAGCAGCGCCCAGAGCCCCGCGAGCACCGAGTGCGCGAAGGAGACGAGCAGGTTCCCCCAGCGCCAGGCGCGGCGCGGGCGGCTCCGCACGGCCGCGGGCCGGGGCAGGCGCCGCGCCGCGCTC